TGCATTGAGTGTGGTGAAAGCTTCAAGTGCAATTCTCACCTTAAATGACATCAGACACCTCTTACAGGGAACAAACCGCATGAACGCCTGGAGTGTGGAAAGAGGTTTGGTCTCGGTAGCCTCCTTACTTTGCATCAAAGAACTCATACAGGGGGCAAACCGTATAAATGCTTGGAATGTAGAAAAAGCTTCAGTGACTCTAGCACCCTTCATGCACATAGGAGAATTCACACAGGGGACAAACCATATAAATGTTTGCAGTGTGGAAAGAGCTAACTCCGCAGTAATCACCTTTCTCGACACCGGATAACTCATTCCGGAGACTAACCCTATGAAAGCTGATGTGTGGAAAGAGCTTCCGTTACAGTGGTAAAAGCTGTTCTCCAATTGGAGCGCTCGCAGACCAGTGTTTCCTAGTAGGGAGTTAGTAGCTCACTCTTTGACGATGTGCAATTCTTCACCTTCATCCATGCACGAGGGCTTTTCCAGTACAGCAAGGAAGCAGTATAAGGACCAAATACTTTACTGTCGCAAAGGTTCAGGCTCAGTAAAACAAGTTTTGGGAGTATGTATATCCATCTGTCTAGTGATAAGTTTGCTGCAAACTGTCTGGCGCCTGGCTAATTTGAACACTGCCCCACAATTGGTATTTAATTAAAATAAGACATGAACTTGAGAATTTTCTCATATGATTTACCAATCTGTTCTTTTCGGTAAGCATTTCTGACTTTCATCTTCAGACTATGAGCTCAGAATATTTAGAGGGACGCTATAATAAATTATTGCAAAACAGCAATCTTTGTGTATGCCGTAACTAAGCAGTAGACCTCTACCAACATGCTCTCTCTATTCTGAACCAAGTTTATCCTTGATTTGTTATGTAAGATACCTGATGCAGATGATCAACTGAAGTCACATATTTGTTGTCTCGTTTGAGAAATCTGTGACAAAGTTGCTGCCCCAAAATTGACAATGTTCATGAGGAGAACATGGTGGACTGTAAAGATTTAATGGGAATGACATCTAAAAACTTATTTGTGTGTGTGTGTAATATAGACTGATACTGTATTTTAATGCCATATTTATGTATATATGTCATATGACCATAATGGTCCAAACAATAAACATATACAGCTTGTAGGCTTTTGCAGATACAGTTACGTACAGATAGATGGACTGTAAGGCAAAAGTGAAGTAACAAGAAATACTATTTTCATGCCTTAACATGTTAGAAGCTGATTGGTTACTGCCCACAGAATCCTATAGTAGTAGTAGTACAAGTAGGAATAATAAAAAATAATAATTATTACTTATACCCCACTCATCTGGCTGGGCCTCCCCAGCCACTCTGGGTGCGGCTTCCCAACAGAATATTAAACACAATAAAAACATCAATTTATTATTTCCTTGACATCTGAAGGGAGGACGTTCCATAGGACGGGCGCCACTCTGCCAGGGTTTCCCTGTATCCTCACTTTTTGCAGTGAGGGAACCACCAGAAGGCCCTTGGAGGAGGGCCGATGGAGGTGGAGACGCTCCTTCAGGTATACTGGGCCAAGGCCATTTAGGGCTTTAAGGTCACACTAACACTTGGAATGTGGGAGTTAATGTAGGTCTTTCAGGACCGGTGTTAGAGGTCTCAGAGGTCAGTCCCAGCTATATTTTTGTTCAGTGGGAAAAAATCCTGTGAGAAGCGGATAATAAATCCTCGGTGTGCACAATAAATATTTTTTGATTCCGTTACCTGGTTTTATTTTGGATCTCTGGTCAGGAACTCCTTCATGAATTTTCCACATTGTGTGCTGCTCTGAGCCCGGAAACACACCATTTTGGAAAACGAATTTGTGAAATACATGTTTTGTGATGTACCAGATTTGCCCGAAAGGGCAGTCAACTTTTCAAAAAAAATGTTTGTGTGGCCTGCAAGTCATGCAAGGATTTGGAATCACTCGCATAAAAGGCCGCTGGCCCTTCCTTCTCCTTCCCCACTTTCTGTACATGCAATAGCAAATTTTATTTTTATTTTAATGCAGCAGTTTTGTGCAGGAGAGTTTCTCCCCACAAAGATGTGTTTTTTATTACTACAAACATTTGCATATTTCATTTATTACTGCCCTTTATTCAGCCAAAGTCCTGGCTGAAGAAGAATGTTTTCGCTCAGGACATAAAGGCGCATAATGAAGGTGCCAGCCAAACCTCTCTCTGTGGAGAGCTTTCCACAAACGGAGCCACTGTAGAAAAGTCCCGATCTTGTTTTGTCACCCTTCCACACATGGAGGAGGCACATGAAGAAGTGTCTTAGAGGGTGATATCCTGGCCTGGGGCAATATTTGAGGTATTGTGATCCTGAGCTGTTAAGGCTTTATAGGTCCAAACCAGCACTTTCAATTGGGCTCAGAAACTAATTGGTTTCCAGTGTGGTTGGACCAGGATCAGTGTAATATGCTCACACAGTCTTGCTCCGGTGAGCAACCTGACTGCCAGATTCTGCAGCAGCCGAAGTTTCTGAAAGCACCGGCAGGCGCCACCATCATGCCTTCAACAACAATGGGGAATAAGCAGGAAACTCGCTAAGGTAAAGGGACCCCTGACCATTTAGGTCCAGTCGTGGCCCGACTCTGGGGTTGCGGCGCTCATCTCGCTTTATTGGCCGAAGGAGGTGGCGTACAGCTTCCGGGTCATGTGGCCAGCATGACTAAGCCGCTTCTGGCGAACCAGAGCAGCGCACGGAAACGCCGTTTACCTTCCCGCTGGAGTGGTACCTATTTATCTACTTGCACTTTGACGTGCTTTCAAACTGCTAGGTTGGCAGGAGCAGGACCGAGCAACGGGAGCTCACCCCATCGTGGGGATTCGAACCGCCGACCTTCTAATTCGGCAAGTCCTAGGCTCTGTGGTTTAGACCACAGCGCCACCAGTGTCCCTTTTTTGGGAAACCCTCTAGGAAGAGACAGTAGAACAATAGAAATACTGGAAATTAAAGGATTTGTTCAACTCAAGCTCCCCTCCCTTCTCCATTCGAATGCATTGGCTAAAATTAGTACAAAGGACCCTAGGTGGTTAGATAGCTCCCGAGCTCCAAAGAAGGAACTGGCCACACACTGTCAAGGAACCCAGGACACCCCTCGACTTAAGGACAGGTTGTGACGGACAGCACAGCCAGGCCAGAGTCTGCTGGTGCAGTCTCCCTGAAATTCTGTCAGAGTGAAGGAGCCTGTCACCGATTGGTACAAAGTCACAGAAGGGGGATGGAGCAGAACTTTGAGAGGGAGGATAAAAAGAGGGAGAGAGAGAGAGATAGGGCTACGGGTTCAGGTGAAGAGATGGGGCTTGATTTGAGAAGATAGGGATGGATTTGAGAAGAGAGAGGGCTTATGGTCAGGTTAGACAGGTGTCCTCAAACTACGGCCCACAGGCCGGATCAGGCCCGCCAAGGTCCTAAATTCAGTTCTCGCTGCTGCTGCTTGCTGCTGGCTGTCTGGCTTCTGGTGCTGTGGGGGTCCCAGGCCAGACGTGGAGACGGCGGAGCAGAAATGGCGGTGCACCGGCCCCCTGTTTAAAAAGTTTAAGGACCCCAGGCTTAGAGAGTGGGTAACTGAGGTAAAAGTGACCCTCAAGAACCAGGTATTAATGGGTGAAGGAAGCTGTATGGTGTTAAAAGTATTTTGTGCAGAGAGGAGGCAGAGATGAGTCAGGCTGGTGACTAAGTTAGGGGGTCTCCCCCTCCTGCTCTGACCAGCTCCCCTCCCCCTTGATCACTCTGAATCTGCAAAGGGATGAAGAGGGCGGAGCACAGGGAGATAAGGCGAAGAAATCTCAGGTTGCTTGGGAGAGGAGCAGACTTAGGGAACCTGTGGGAGATAGCTGAATGCTTTCTCCATGAAAGGAAGCAGCAAATCCTGGCTTATAGAAAGCCAGCATGTCAGGGAACAGATGAGGACAGAACCTTTTCCCCTGGAATTTGTGGCAAGAGGGCAAATCCTATGCTAGGGGTTATTAAGAACCTAAGAATGACTCTGTTGGATCAACCAGGTGCAGAATGGCTGGGACAACCCAGTCAGATGGATGGGGTACAATAAATAAATGATTAGTGTTAGTACAGTGGTACCTCGGGTTACATACGCTTCAGATTACAGACTCTGCTAATCCAGAAAGATTACCTCGGGTTAAGATCTTTGCTTCAGGATGAGAACAGAAATTGTGCAGCAGCGGCGCAGCGGCAGCAGGAGGCCCCATTAGCTAAAGTGGTGCTTCAGGTTAAGAACAGTTTCAGGTTAAGAACGGACCTCCAGAACGAATTAAGTATTTAACCCGAGGTACCACTGTATTAGTATTTGCTTCCATTGCCTGAAGCATAGCTGACAACTTTCCCCCTTTTTTATGGGAAATTACCTTATTCCGCATAGGATTCCTCGCAAGAAAAGGGAAAAGTTGACAGCTATGGCCTGAAGTGGCTGCCTCCATCTGCCTCATGGACTGTAGAGTTATTCTTAGGTTCCTAATAACCCCTAACATGGGATTTGCCCTTTTCCCAGTTGCCACAAATTTAAATTCCAGGGGCCAGGGGAGAAAGGTTTTCTTTTCCCCTGTTCCCTGGCAAGCTAGCTTTCTATAAGCAAGGAGCTACTGCTTCATTCACGGAGAGGCATTCAGCTATTTACACACACCTGAGATCACCCGCCTTTCCTGCTCTATCTCTGAAGGATGCCAAAAAGAGGCAGCTGCCTCCCTGTTTGCTCTTCAATGGTTAACAGCAGCAACAGCATCTGAGCCCACATTCCTAGAGCAGAAGATTGCAAAGAGGAGGAGATTTGGGGAGGGGGGGAGAGAGAGGGGGAATGTGCCCCTTTCCTCTTCCGCAGATCTGAAAGGGGGGAAAATGCCAAAGTGTTCCACGTGAGTTTCTTCTTGCTTTGGCAGAGATGCTGAAGGCGGCCGCAGGGAGGGAAATGCAAGATTAAGGCAAATGGTTTCCGCGTGCTGGGGAAAGCAGGACTCCCGCAAGAGCTCTTCCCCTAACCGAATTATTAGGCTCATTGGAGAGATGCGCTCCGTGCACTGAGAGATCCAGGTAGGTTAATCACTCCGCAGGTAAGCATCCCTCCATGATCTCCCCCCAACCTACAACAGCTTCTTGTTTCCTGTGTTGGGGACCTTATTTAGGGAAGCTTTTAATGTTTGATGTATTACAGTATTTTAATATTTTTTTGGAAGCCGCCCAGGGTGGCTGGGGAAGCCCAGCCCGATGGGCGGGGTATAAATAATTAATAAATTATTATTATTATTATTATTATTATTATTATTATTATTATTATTATTCACTAGTAATCTGCAATCATTTCCTTATGCTGCATAAATTAAGGTTGCCACTTTCCACATCTCTCTCTTTGCTCCTGTGCCTTCAAAAGACTCCAGAAAGGCATAAACGAAGCTTTTCCACAAATGGGAAGGGGGCCGGGGTGGGAGTGTTACCGGAGAAATCTGAGGGCTCCCTTGGACAAAAAACAAGGACACCAGCCAGGAATACCAGAGCAAAACAGCAGCCAGTAGGCTTGGTCTTTACTGAAGACTGTCGCAACAGGATTCCCACCTGCCACAAGGTGGAACAAGACTGGAAGCCCCGGACAAAAGAGAACCCAAACTTTTATTAGCTGCTAATCCCCATGTTACACCCCCCCAAAACTACATCACTCATACATCATGGTTACATCATGAAAGGGGAGGTCTGGTGGCAGTAATCTGAGCATCCTGGACCCTGCCCCATGGTTCTCCTTGCCCTCCACCAAACACCCATCAAGTGTAACAAAAAAGATATTTACATTTCCCTGTTTCCCAGCCAAGTTAATCACACCCTTTTATCTTTATCTGGCTTTGTTTTTTCTGGAATGGCTACCTGTCTGGCAAGGGACGTGGGTGGTGCTGTGGGTTAAGCCACAGAGTCTAGGACTTGCCAATCAGAAGGTCGGTGGTTCGAATCCCCACAACGGGGTGAGCTCCCGTTGCTTGGTCCCTGCTCCTGCCAACCTAGCAGTTTGAAAGCACATCAAAGTGCAAGTAGATAAATAGGTACCACTCCGGCGGGAAGGTAAACGGCGTTTCCGTGCGCTGCTCTGGTTTGCCAGAAGCGGCTTAGTCATACTGGCCACATGACCTGGAAGCTGTACGCTGGCTCCCTTGGCCAATAAAGCGAGATGAGCGCCGCAACCCCAGAGTCGATCACGACTGGACTTAATGGTCTGGGGTCCCCTTTACTTTTTACCTGTCTGGCACTCAGGTATCAGGATGCCAGGGATTATCACTCAGGCAGAGGGGCTGCTGAGTAGCTGAGCTCACATGTCTATATGAATTTCTGAAGTTTTCCCAGTGAGCCAGTACATAGATACATTTATCAGTGAATTCTTACATTTGGTATCGTGCAGCAGAGGCCCTTTGAATAGACAGGAAGAAACTGTGATGAAGTGTTTTGTGGGGACAAATTACAAAAGTCACAAAAGTGATTGTGCTGATTTTGGTAGTGGGTTGCATGCGCATGATATCTGCTGGAGGGGCATCCCACCCCCAAATCTATACATAAATTCCTGCAACAGGAGGCTCTCATGCCACATTGCCAGGTACCTGGTGGTGAATGTTAAACTGCACAGGAGCAAGGCCAGGGGGAAAAACAACAACGTTGGCAATCCTAATCAATTTTGCGTGCTCAAGAAAGCCGGCCAATGGAAGGCGGAATTGAGAGAAGGAGTTCCCAGCAAGAAGCATCACTGCATTGGAGGTGGAATGTATGGTAGCTGTTGTGGCAGGCAGCCATTGATAGCCGTCTCCTCTATATGAATCTTTTCCAATTGTATTTTAACACCATCCAAGTTTGTGGCCGTCACTGCCTCTTGTGGAAGAGAGTTCCATCGTTTAATAATGTGCTGTGTGAACAAGGCCTTCTTTTTGTCTTGCCCTGAATCTTCTGACCTTCAACTTCAACTGGACGAGCTTGAATTCAGGCAAAAACGTTCCTCTTTAACCGGGTCTTTGGTTGATTGTCATCCGATGCCAATGCAGGTCTTTCAGGACAGGTGTTATGTGGTCTCAGTGGCCAGTCCCAACTATATTTTGGTGCGTGGGGAAAAAATCATGTGACACGAGCCCTACCTGTGTGCACAATAAATATATTTTTTATTCCGTTACCTAGTTTTATTTTGATCTCCGGTCAGGACCTCCTTCATGAATGTCCACATCGTGTGTGCTATTCTAAGCCGGGAAACCAAGGTCCCTCGTGGGGGTTTGTTTCCCTGTGTGCATGCACCATTTTAGAGGCACACTTGGAAAGGACTCAGTTGGATCCAAAATAGCCAATCCAAACTCAAGATTCTGTCAGGTATTCTGTCATTTGAAAATATTTAAAGCACTCATCTTTTTACAGCCGCTGGACCTCTCTTCTCAGCTTATTTCACAAAATATGTGCATCTTTAATTTTTTTTTCCCCTAATTCTGATTTCAACCAGGATCTTTGAAACAATTGCAGTTCCTTGCCTCTTAATGCCGCCTGCCTTTTAGAATTTATAACCATGGCAACCCCTTTGTAAGCCGCCTTGGCTCTCGGTCTGGGAGAAAGGCGGGATATAAATAAGTAGAATACTAAAGGTGAGGATAAAGCTGCTCTTGAGCTCGGATCTTGCTTGGAGCACCTGCGGAGGAGGGATTCTGTCCTGGGGGCGCCGCTGGCCTGATCCTGCAGCCGGGTTTCCCCCTCCTGCTTCAGAGCCGGAGACCAGCCGGGCTCCCTCTCTGCCCGGAGCAGCCAAGAGGCTCCTACCCCGCGGCTCCGCAAGGGTTAACAGCGACCACAGAGCTTCGATTCCTAGAGCGGAAGGGAAGACTGGGGAGAGAGGAGGCGCTTCCGCTTCCTGTTCCGCTTCCCCGGGTTGATGCTGTCCTCCCTGGAGGCGGGTAACTGGGGGGAGTGGGCCGAGCCAGGGGCGGAATTGGGGGGCGAGAGGGAGGGAGCCGCGTCCCTCCTGGGGGGAACTAAGGGGCGACGGGGAAAGGTCGTCCTCTCCTGGGAGGGGAAGCGGGAGGCCGAAGCGACGCTCCTCGCTGGCCTTGACCGGCCTCTGGCCTCATCCTGCGGCCTTTTCTCCCGCTCCTCTGTCCAGAGAACGCAGAAGGAGCGCCCAGCAAAGGCCGCAGGGCAGGGAATGGGGAGGAATGGCAGGGAGTAAACAGGGAGTCAGGAGAGTCTCCTGCCAGCCAGGGAGGAGCAGGAGGAATAATTATTATTTTATTCCTTCATACCCTGCCCATTTAGCTGCGTTTCCCCAGCCACTCTGGGCAGCTCCCGACAGAATATTAAAAGCACTATAAAAGATCAAACATTCAAAGCTTTCCTGAACGGGGCTGCCCTCAGATGTCTTCTGAAAGTCAGATAGTTGTTTATTTCCTTGACATCTGATGGGAGGGCTTTCCACAGGGCGGGCGCTACTACCGAGAAGGCCCTCTGCCTGGTTCCCTGTAACCTCGCAGGGAGGGAACCGCCAGAAGGCCCTTGGAGCTGGGCCTCAGTGTCAGGACTGAGCAATGGGGTGGAGATGCTCCTTCAGGTATACAGGCTGAGGCCATTTAGGGCTTTAAAGGTCAGCACCAACACTTTGAATTTTGCTCGGAAACATACTGGGAGCTAATGTAGGTCTTTCAGGTCTTAGTTGGCTGCTGCTCCCAGTTACGAGTCTAGCTGCAGCATTCTGGATTTGATCTAGTTTCCGGGTCACCTTCAAAGGTAGCGCCCCATAGAGTGCAGAAGGAGCTGCAGACTCTATGGCAGGAGAGGATCCTCCTCAGTTAAGACTCTTTAGCATTTTATTGTATCGAAGGCCATAGGTCCACTGCAAATTAAACCATGAGAAAAAACTTTTCCTCTGCAAAATGTATGTACTAAACATATATCATTAAAAAAGGTGGGCCCCTGGGGATATAACTGGCCATCTGCAGCTGTAGTAATTTTATCTTATGTTCAAGATTTCTAAACACCTGATCCAAAAGGTCTCTCAAGTGACACAGTGATCCAATGGGAGCTAGAACACAATTAAAACCCACAAACCAATTTAGAAACCAGTATGCATAAAGCCATCATTGAAAAAATTATCCCTCTCCACTTCCCATTTTGCCTCTTGGGCAGCATGTATGGTCTTTACACACCTGAGGAAGGAGGGAGTATGGGGTGGGACAAAACACTCATTTCCCCCAGTCTTAAATTGAGTTATCCAGATTTTCACATCTTATTAAAAAAACAAATAAACACTGAAGGTAAAATCTCCAGTTGCCCCATCTATCATCGGAGGGGGAGCTGAGGGGAGATGGTTTCCACACCTTGCCTTGGAGTGTCTATAAGGAAGGGAATTGTTCTGTCCTTCCAGGGATCAGTGAGCTTTGACAGGTGTCCTTGCATTTCGCTGACGAGAACTGGGCCCTACGGAGAGCTCTGTACAAGGACATCATGGTGGAGGTTCATGAGATGGTGGCCTCTCAGGGTAAGGATCCTTTTCGCCTTCATTAATAGTTATAATAGGTATGGGTTCCTCAGTGGCTCAGAGTGCCTCCCTTCAGCTCCGCTAAAGGAGGTCACCGTGTTTGTTTTTCTCCCAAGTTAAAGGCCAGAAGCCTGGCTGAGAGTAAACATTCTTGCTTCTCTGCTACAATTAGCCAGTGATGGCTTCAGGGTTGCCTCCCTGTGGAAGAGCATTCTTTAGGTGGGGAGCCAGCACTGAAAGACGCATTCCGTATTGCCTCTCTTTGCCCCTCAGCTGGAGAGGGCACTGTGAGAAGGACCTCTGATGATGAGTGCAGGCTCTAGATGGATTCATGAGAAGCAGCCATTGAGCTACATAAGTCAAAATCAGCACCTTGACTTGAAGACAGGAACCCAGATATGCTCAGAGCCTCTTGCACCGGTCAGCACTCTGTCGTTTCTGAACGGTCTTCTAAAGCAGCCTGAAGTATAATGCATTGTGGCAATCTAGCGTGGAGAATGGTAGAAAAAGCATACTAAAAATCTTCTGTGTGGGGGATCCTAATTTGTAGAATACTTGAGTATCTTGTTATTGGTTTCTGTTGATGTTTTGGTTTGTTTGTTGCATGTATAGAATATTCTGTTTCTTAGTATTTGATGTTTGGTTGCATTTTTATATATGCTGCAAGCCACCCAGAGTGGTTTGGGAAACCCAGCCAGACGGTTGGAATATAAATAAAGTAAATGCTATTATTGTTATTATTCATTTTGGTTTCTCAACAAGCTCTGCAGATCTAGGCATTCAAGCTTCTCTGAGTTGCAGTGCTGTATTATCAATGCTCAGGGGTGGCCTCACTTCTGCCCCCACAATGGGGGCTCAAAATCCATAAGGAGCGTACCCCTGCAAGTTGGGTCGGGTGGTTCCCCCACCCCACCAGACCTCCAAGGGGTGCAGACGCCTCCCCCCCATCCATGTCAGTGTTTGTATATATAAAAAAGTTCTGACCTCCCTTTGTCGCCTCAGCCTGTTCCTCGGACTCTTGTTGGCATAAAAAAGTCCACGAGAAAAGTATCCTTGCAGAGTACTTTCTGCTTTTATTCTTAAAAGTCTTTCTGCAAAAGCGGTTGACCAACTGTACACACCTCAACACTACCAGCTTTCACTAACCAACCAACCAAACCCAAACCACAAATTCACATTTCTCACTCCATATATACAACCCGGTGCAGGCCGCTGACTCATGCTGACCCAGCTTTTTAAGCATTAAAGAAACAGCGGCCAATTTTTAGCCGTGACAACTCACTGGCAAAGAGCCTTTTCAGATCCTGACAAAGTTGAGAGGCCGGGGAGACTAGCAGCAAAGCTGAGCAGTGACGCCCCTTTGGGGGTGACACCTGAGGCAGCCGCCTCACACAGGCCCAGAGGCAGGCAGGCTCTGTTGATATTATTGCCTGCTGGTTTAAATTGTGTTATTTATGGCTTGGTTAATCTTAGGGACTGCTCACCAGAACTTTTCTGATACAAATAACCCTTCATTAAATGGTGATATTTTAATAAAGCCAGGTATCACACCATTAATTTTATGTAAAACACCTTTAACATAGTGCCAGGCCTTGAGTTTTGATAAGGAAACAGCTGTATCAACCTTTCTTTTGAAATTTTTATTCCATCAGGAGATGTTTGGGGGGTCCTGGATGAGGAGGAACCACCAGAAGTCTGGCCAGAAAGAGGTGAGGAGCAAGAGAAGGAAAGGAAGTTGGGGGTTCAAGATGGAGCCAACAAACAAGAGGGGAGAGAAACAGTGAAGCCAAGGGATGAACACAGTGTTTCCCAAGAAGATGAAAATCAGATTAACAGGGTGGAGAAAAAACATGAATGTACTGTGTGCGGAAAGAGATTCTGTAGTCGCTCAGCCCTTGCTAGACATCAAAGCGTACACTCAGGTGAAAAACCTTATAAATGCCTGGAGTGTGGAAAGAACTTCAGTCGGAGTTCCTCCCTTAATGTGCATCAAAGAACTCATACAGGTGAGAAACCATATACATGCATGGAGTGTGGAAAGAGCTTCAATCAGAGTTCCTCCCTTAATGTGCATCGAAGATCTCATACAAGTGAAAAAACCTTATAAATGCATGGAGTGTGGAAAGAGATTCAGAAACAGTGGCCACCTTAATGTGCATCGAAGATCTCATACAGGGGAGAAACCAAATACATGCATGGAGTGTGGAAAGAGCTTCAATCACAGTGCCTCCCTTAATGTGCATCGAAGATCTCATACAGGTGAAAAACCTTATAAATGCATGGAGTGTGGAAAGAGATTCAGAAACAGTGGCCACCTTACTTTGCATCAAAGAAACTCATACAGGGGAGAAACCTTATGAATGCATGGAGTGTGGAAAGAGATTCAGAAACAGTGACTACCTTACTTTGCATCAAAGAACTCATACAGGGGAGAAACCTTATAAATGCTGGGAATGTGGAAAGAGTTTCTTTGACAGTAGTACCCTTATTAAACATCAAAGAACTCACACAGGGGAAAAACCATATACATGCATGGAGTGTGGAAAGAGCTTCAATCAGAGTGCCTCCCTTAATGTGCATCGAAGATCTCATACAGGTGAAAAACCTTATAAATGCATGGAGTGTGGAAAGAGCTTCAGTTGCAGCAAGTCTGTTTAAAATGCATCATATAATTCACACACAGGAAAACCATATAAATCCATATAAATGCATGGAGTGTGGAAAGAGCTTCAGTACCAGAAGCATCCTTATTAGACATCAAAAAACTCATACAGGGGAAAAACCATATAAATGCCTGGAGTGTGGAAAGAGCTTCAGTCAGACTGCCTCCCTTAATGTGCATCGACGAACTCATACAGGGGAGAAACCGTATAAATGCCTGGAGTGTGGAAAGAGCTTCAGTCAGAGTTCCTCCTTAATGTGCATCAAATAACTCATACAGGGGGAGAAACCTTATGAATGCATGGAGTGTGGAAAGAGCTTCAGCTACAGTGGCTACCTTACTAAACATCAAAGAACTCACACGGGAAAAACCATATAAATGCCTGGAGTGTGGAAAGAGCTTCAGTCAGACTGCCTCCCTTAATGTGCATCGACGAACTCATATAGGGGAGAAACCGTATAAATGTTTGAAATGTAGAAAAAGCTTCAGTGACTCTAACATCCTTCATGCACATAAGAGAATTCACACAGGGGACAAACCATACAAATGTTTGGAGTGTGGAAAGAGCTACCGCCGCAGTAACCACCTTTCTCGACACCAGAGAACTCCTTCAGGGGACTAACCCTATAAAAGTTGATGTGGTGTAAAGAGCTTCAGTTATAGTAGTTTCTTTACTGTGCATGAAAGTACTCGTACAGTGGACAAACAACATACATTTTTGGGGTGTGGAAAGAGCTTTAGTTGCAACAGCTGTCTAGTGATAAGTTGCCAATAGCCAGGTGCAAAATGTGTCTGGCGCCTGGCTAATTTTGAACACTGCCCCACATTGGTATTTAATTAAAATAAGACATGAACTTGAGAATTCCCCTCTGATTTACCAATCTGTTTCCTTTAGGCAAGCATTTCTGACTTTGTTTTCAGACTATGTGCTCAGAATATTTAGAGGGACACTATAAAAAATTATTGCAGAAGAGCTTCTTTGTATATGCTGTAACTAAGCAGTAGATCGCTACCAATATTCTCTATTCTGAACCAAGTTTATCCTTGTTTGGTTATGTAAGATACCCGATGCGTGTAATCAACTGCCCAGGAGGACTCCCCTGCCTGGGGGTCCCGTTCCTGCCACTCACCACCTGGCCAGGGCAGGGCCGGGCAGGCCTCATAAGGACAGCTGAGGCTGCTGCTGTCTCTGCCCCAGGAGAACTCAGAACAGCACAGAGTTCTTTTAAAATATTTAAAATTTTATTTTTTTACCTTTAAAATTGTTTCTGGTGTGGGGGGTGGACGTTTAGTCGTGTTTGGAAATTGGTCTAATTTGGTATGTTTGTAACTTTTACTGTTTTTGGTTTTTATTGTTTTATTGCTTTTTTAAAAAACAGGTTTTATTTTGTTCTGAAGGGGAGGCATCAGGGCTGCCTGGGAGTGGGTCCCAGAAAACAAAATGGCTGGGGCATGTTCCACAGGGAGGGATGCACTGGGACAACCGATCTCAGTGATCACGGGTAGGAGGAGGAGAGACGCTAAGACCAGACCACGTCATTACCGAGGAGGCAGGTTTAGTCGTTGTTTGAGGACTATCCCTGACTCCGGGTCTGGTCTTGACCGGACGGATACTGGAATCAGCAATGGATACCCACATAACCTGAAGGTTTCTGCTGTGCAATGCCAGATCAATGATTCATAAGACCACTGCCATCCATGACTTGATCGTGGATGGAGGACTGGACCTAGCATGTGTAACAGAGACTTGGTTGGATGAAGCAGATGGGGCCTGTCCTTGCCGCTGCTTGTCCAGGCCAGGTTTCTCTCATGCACAGCAACCAGGTCATGTTGGGCGGGGAGGGAGGGGGTTGCAGTGCATTTTTTAGGAAGTCATTAGTCTGCAACCAGGCGTCCCTAATGGGTGTGCCGGAAGAACCCAGTTCTCTGAGTGCCTGTTCTAAGAAGTTGGGCAATAGGGGCAGTACAGGATTCCTTTTGGTGGTCCTGACTCCGCCGCTTGCACCAAGGATTCCCTGCCCAAGCTGCTTCAGTTTGTGGTGGATGTTCTCCTTGGAGACACCTAGTTTGGTTGTCCTACGGGGATTTTAAACAATTCACCCAACACGACCTGCACAGGGACCTGCTTGGGAACTTTGTGGGAAAACTATGGCACTCCATAGACTTGCCCCTGAATAAGCCCTGGCCCAGCTCATAGCCTTTGACTCTATGGATGTTGGTGATCTGACACTATAAAGCGAAACAAAAAGAAGTGCCATAGTCAGATCACTTCCTAGTGCAACTGGACTTCTCCGTGACCCTTCCCCTCTGCAGGGGGGTGGGACCGGATTCGGAATGGTCCGCCCCGCCACTTAATGGAATCTAAATGGTTTCCAGAGAGTGGTAGGGGATGCTTTATCCATGTTGATGGCCTTTTAGCTGATTCCCTGGTGGCCCACTGTAATGTGGAGTTAACCAGGGCTATTGACTGTTTGGCTCTGAAGCGCCCCTCTGATTGCATGGAGCCTGGGCAGCTCCATGGTTTTCCACCGGTCCTAAGGGCAATGAAACAATCACTGAGATGGCTAGAGTTGCCGGTGGTGGATGACTCATTCTGCATATGACCGCACATGGGTTAGAGCTCAATGTCAAGCCTCCAAGTGGCAATAGTGACGATGAAGAAGACACCGCCTTTATTGCATCTGCAGAAAGACAGCAGCAGGGAGACACTTTCAGGTGGTGCGCAATTTTAGCGGAACCACCTGCTCCATCGGGGCCCAGTACGAGCCACATGATCTCCTGTAGTGATTTTGCAGTTTTTGGCAGCAGAGGAGCTATGACACTTGTGTCCAGGGCAGCTGTTTACCAACTTCATCTGGTACACAGGCTGAGGACCTTGCTTGACTGCAGACTGTCTCATTCAGAGGTGCTAATCCAGAATGCCGGCAGCTAGACCGGTGACTGGGAGTGGCTGCCAAGACCACATAACACCAGTCTTGAAAGACCTACATTGGCTCCCAGCACGTTTCGGAGCACAATTCAAAGTATTGGTGCTGACCTTTAAAGCCCTAAATGGCCTCAGCCCAGTATACCTGAAGGAGCGTCTCCACTCCCATGCGTCCCCACGCCCATCGTTCTGCCTGGACACTGAGGTCCAGCGTTAAGGACCTTGGCAGTTCCCTTGCTGCAAGAAGCCAAATTACAGGGACCCAGGTAGAGGGCCTTCTCGGGTGGGTGGCACCTTGTCCTGTGGAATGCCCTCCCACCAGATGTCAAAGAGAAAAACAACTACCAGATTTTATAGAAGACATCTGAAGGCAGCCCTGTTTAGGGAAGCTTTTAATGTTTGACGGACTATTGTATTTTAATATTTTGTTTGAAGCCGCCCTGAGTGGCTGGGGAAACCCACACAGATGGGTGGGGTATAAATAATAAATTATTGTGATTATTACTGAAAGTCACATATTTGTCTGATCCTGGTTTGAGAAATCTGTGACAAAAGTTGTGAGATCTGCAGTTGCTGCCCCCCAGACTGAGAAAAGTTCATTGGAGGAAAACATGGTGGACTGTAAAATATTATAATGTGGGATGAATCTAAAAAACTATTTGTTAATGTGCTTGCCGTGTGTGTGTGTAATATAGGACTGATACTATTTTAAGCTAGTACAGTGGTAGCCTCGGGTTAAATAACCTTAATTCCGCTCTGTGGGTCTGCTTCTTTAATCTGAAACTGTTCTTAACCTGAAAGCACCCTTTAGCCTGACATGGGGCCTCCCGCCTGCTGCCGGCGCCGCAATTTCCTGTTCTCATCCTCTCTTCTCAGCTGATTTCACAAAAGATAATGTGCATCTTTAATTTTTTTTTCCTAATTCTGATTTCAACCAGGATCTTTGAAACAATTGCAGTTCCTTGCCTCTTAATGGCCGCCTGCCTTTTAGAATTTATAACCATGGCAACCCCTTTGTAATGCCGCCCTTGGCTCTTGGTCTGGGAAAAAGGCGGGATATAAATAAGTAGAGATACTAAAGGTGAGGATAAAGCTGTTGTCTTGAGCTCGG